AAGACCAGAACGTTTTTGATCGCACTGGTTTTGTTTTTTGATTGCATTTTTTGCATGTTTTGTGCATGTTTTTGCATTGTTTTGTGCCTTTTTTGTGCATTGTTTTTGCCTTTTTTGTGCGTTTTTTGCATTGGTTTAGTGGACAAATGCGTTTTTTTTTTCGCAATTTTTTGCGTTTTTTTGCATTCCAAGGCATCCTTTGGCGACTTGTTTTTGCGGGATTGGTTTTGCATTATTTTTGCGTTGTTTATGCATTTTTTATGTTTTGCTGTGTCATCAGAACTAGCTTTAGCGTACATCATAACACTAGACAAAGATAGTCTGCAGTTACTAAGTCAAAAGCTCCCCTGCACAAAGCCACATATCCTTGGTGCGTTTCCAGTACTCATACTGGGCACCTCGGATTTGCGCGCGGAGGATTGTGGAGCCAACAGTGGTGGCAGCATGGCTTAGACGCAGACGATCTTTAATGAACCGCCAGGCTCGGTCAACAATTTGTGTACCAGCCTTCCTTTGAATTGTCTTCCCGTTTGGAAGCTTATCGGTGGAGAGCTTGACAAAGTAGGTGCTTTCCACACAAACTTTCCACCAATCTTTACACGTTATTTTGGTGCACAACATTTCTCTCCTCTTTCTGCAGCCTTTCGATTTCCTGCTCCAGTCGAGCAATGACCGCTTCTTTCTTCTCGATGGTGAGCTTGGCTTCTTTCAGCTCTTGTTGACAATGGTGCAAAGCTGAGAAGATGGTGTCGAAGTCTTTCTTGGCCGTCTGGAGCTGGTTGTTCAATGCCACTTCGTTGTCAGTGGGCTTCTTCTCAGAGGATTGAGAGTCAGAGGAAGAACCGGAAGATGCACTCACTGCGCGCTTCTTTTTGGCCACGGGCTGTGACTTGGACTCTGAGGATGACGGAGATGAGCTGGAGGATTTATCCTTGAGGGCCAGCAAGCCCTTCTGTCCCTTAAGAGGCTTGGCCAGCAAGTTCTCGAGACGTGCTTGCGCTTCTTGAGACCAGCCCCCCCTACTTCCACCAGGTAGACGCGCCATGCGCTGAGCGTTGCCCAAAGCATTGCTGACGAGTAGGATGAACGAAAATGCTGCCCTCGTTCACTTTCAACATCAGGTCTTCCGGACTGGGCCGGCACATCTTGACCTCGGCTTCTGGTGCTGCTGGCAAAGTCAGCTGAAGGGTTGCCTCGCGTCCTTGTACGTCACAATGTCCAGCCACGGAAAACGACGTCATGACAGAGACACGAAATAGATACGAACGCAAGTCTTGTTCTAAGTTGGAGCGCTGAATTTTGAGGCACACGCGGACGAAGCACTCAAGTAAGATACGATGGGAGATGAGTGAAGTAGTAAAGTACCAGGAATCAAGAATCAAGAACCGAGACTGCACAGAAAGTCTTCCGGAACAATAGTTTCTTAAGACATCTTAAGATTTTCCTGGAACCAAGAAACCAAGAACCAAGATTGCACAGAAGTCTTGGGCAAAATCTTGGTTCTGATGAGAAGGTTTCTTGGAACCAAGAACCAAGATTATCCCCAAACTTCTGTGCAATCTGAGTTCTTGGTTTCTTGGTTCCAGGGAAATCTTAAGATTTCTTAAGATTTATGCAGATGTTTGAATAATGTTATTGTTTGCTTATTGTTCTGAAATATAATCTTCACCTGAGATGCACGAGGCTGTGCAAATATATATATATATGGTACTCCCCTTTCAATTGACTGATAGATTATCATCCCCAAACATGAAATTGTCTAAAAGGTAGGTTTTGGGGGGGGTACCATATGTGTATATATCTATATATATATGTTACTCCCCTTTCAATAAATTGATGGATGAATATCCACAACCGTGAAACAAGCAAAAATTGTAGATCTTGGGGGGGCACCATATATATATATACACTGTATCTATGTCTATTGTCCAATTTTCGCAGCCCTTGAACAAGTGCTGAAAAGGACCCTTCTTTCTGCAGCCGTCTGCCCACCTGTCAAAGATGGTTTTCCAGAACTTCATCTGGCAACACGTTGGCCGGAGTTTTATGCTTCCGCCAGGCTGTGCCCAGCTGTGCCGTTTCTGAACAACGATGACATATCTGAACATCCGACATCAACACGCGGACTCAGACATGACCCACACACCCACCGGGTTCATGGACAAGTCCTCTTGCCTCCGGAAAAGCTACGTTTGGCATACACCATCTCCTGTATGCAAAAACAAAAGAACTAACTAAGGCTATTTGTATAAGTTCCCATCATCTCAGGCTAGTGTTGGAATTTTACCTGTTATCAACTGTATACATTCAACTGTAACGCATCTGTGCGCCAAAGTTCACATAATTGCTATGTCAACACGAGCTCAAGCTCACTGACACCGAGGGCAACCCATCTGAGCATTCAACTAGCCTGTGGGGGTTCATGCTCGAGAGCGTGCAGGTGAAGCTAGAGATGTTTGCTTGAGTGAATTCCAAACTTCTCCAGTACTTTGGGTCTCCTGGCAACACACCCGTTGTTCACCATCGACGTAAAACTGGTCTTCCAAACACCACCTTGGGGAAGAACGCTCCAAACAAGGTTTAGCATGGTCAGCCAGCAACATCAGCACCAACGACAAAAGGGCATGAAATGCAAATATCTTTCTAAGCTATGCAAACACACATAAGACTCATAAGGCCATACAAGCTAAGCAAACTGCGAATAGCGGTGTTTTTGAGACAACTGTAGAATCACGATCTAACGTAAAGGATATGTTTATGGCGACCCCGACCCAAGGGTCCAATCTATGACACTCCCGGTACTCCCGGTTACCACGGCAAAGCACGTTCTGACTCTGAGACAGTGAAAAAGGGTCCTTCCAAGTCCTAGCAGCTGCTAGCGTGATGTGTAATGTCCACCTAGGATTTATAAATATCCCTTGAATAAAGCTAAACAAATCCCAGAACAGATTAATAAATTCCCCCCAAATAAAGCTAAATGTTTTCACCCCTGGAAAATCCAGCCTTTCCTTTATACTAAAGGAAAAATCTCTACCAATACTAAACATGTGAAAACAGTCTTTAAGTCTATTTGAGGTCTTTCAGGGAGGGGGGGGGGCCCTACCGATAAATCAAAGGTCAACATTAGAGTGTAAAATGCCATGTAAATGCCATGAACACCAGGGAAGGAATCCGAACCTCTCAGCGCGTCGAACACGGTCATTCATGTCATTCCGCATTCCGCCCTTGGCGCCGCGAACGGTTGAAGGCTGGCTCGCTGAGACCACTCGCCAGCCCGCGCCTCGCCAGCCTTGTCACGCATGAAGGCTGGCCTTGTCTGCTCCATCCGATCAAAGAAACGTCAGAAACTGCAATACGGCTGGTCCAATGGCACGTTTGCCACAAACCAAGCAATATCTACGAGAAAGGTCCATGATATTCTTGTTGAGCCGCGAAGCAGAAGGGATCCATTCCATCCACTATCTCCACTGTTTCCATCCACTGCTCTCACCCTGCCTCCTGCAAATCACCCTGGAGTCCATGTTATCATGTGGACCCATTGGTCATTGATGAAATGTCAGCGGTGAAAAACACGATGGATGCTGCAAAGACCTGCTGCCTTCATTTCAGGAGGATGCTTCTGCTGTCTTCACAAGTAATATGTGTGAACCTTCCAGACAAAAAGACTTGCAAGAATGGTCAAAGGGATGTGTTCTTTACAGGATACTTCTGTTGCCGCAAGGTGACACGGTGATTCCCAACAAAGGGGGCCCGGCCCGGTGGTCGCCCGCCCTGGCCGTCACTTGGCACATCTCATCGCTGGGGTTCTCGAGCTCTTTGCCCTCCTGCAACATCTGCTGATGGAACTTGGCACTCCTGGAGCACAAAGTTCAAACCCTGCTACCTGACTCCGCCACTGCAAAAGCATGGGGAGGAAATTGTCCAGATAGGCAAAAAGTGGTCTGGTCATTCATAATGAAGTGGTACTTTGGCTATTTTAAGCGTGCTAATGAAACGCTTTATCCCAAGTTCATTCCGTCACACAGTCTTGATCCGTGATTCATGCACAATCTCTGTGATTATCACTGAGCTTTGTACTCGGCAAATGACCATAAATGACCTACTTCAAGTTCAATATGCTCCTGATGACCGTCCGCACGCGACCAACCACGTCGTTGGGGTCATTGTAGTGGCCAGTCTAGGCTGCAATGAATTTTCGCTGAGCTGCAGCACCTACTCTATCACTTCACCTAAAGCTTTGGAGAGTCCGCCTTCCTGAAGCTTTGGGACTGGGCTTTGGGATGTTTCAAACAGCTGCAAGGACGTTACAATCAAAGTGAAGAATGACCAGAGGCCAAGTACCACATTCCACGGAGGCTTCTTCACTTTCCGGACCTGTGGGCACACGCAGGCAGCCAAGTCATCGGAATGCATCACAGGGCGAACCAAGTCCAAACCAAGCGCCTTCTGTTCATTGTCTTTGTGCATCCTGGGCGCGACCGTTTTTTAAGCATGCGACTGAAGGTAGAAGGAAGCATGAAACAGAACTTGTCCAAGTGATTCTCTGTAGTGCTAATATGTGCTAATTGTGGATCAGTCAAACATGGCCGTAGACTCTTCTCACAAGTTGAGGCTTGCAGCTCTGATTTATATATACCAAAGTAGATGAGTCAGCAGGCTGCAGTCAGTCCTCGTACTTTGGCCACATGCGGCGAGGGATGAAGCAATGATAACGTGGCAGCACTTCTTGGTGCAGAATGTTCGATCAAAGTTTACTTGGGCATTTCTTGGTGGAAAGGTGCAGCTATTCTTTTGGTGAATACAGTAGAGGGAATTCCATCAATTCCAATCACACATCCAGCGGTTTGGCTATGTCTAATTGTTTTTATCCTGACTGGTTTGATCCCAAAGGTTGCGACAAACAACAGCATCTTCCTCAACAGCAGCAGCTTGGAATCTGTTGAGACACCAGTCCCGTCGACCGTCGACCGGCGACCGTTGGGACCGGTCGAACAGCGCACTCGACGGTCAGCTCCCAAGACCTGTCGACGGTCTCTCGGCCAACGGTCTCGAAACGCCCCCAATGAAACGGTCGACTCTCTGTGATGGTGGTGAGACTCATCTGTTTGGTTTTCGATGTTTTCAGGTTTATTGGCCTTGGATGCTTTCCTTTTTTGGGTCTATTGGCCTTGGATGACTAGATGAGCCTCTCTATGCTTTGGTGGCTGCCAGGATTGAACACATGGAGGCATGGCTCTCACGCCCAGCTTTCCTAAAACTCTCAGCCAGTACACACCCACCTTGCACAGTGCCAGAACTTCTGCCGCGTCATCCAGCAGGGTGCTCTGAGCAGCGAGAGGAAACAACTCCAGAAACGAGTCTTTCCAAAACTTCTGAATCCTGCTACCAAAGGCTTTGTGGGTACAAAAGCAAAAAAACAAGACAACCGAACCCTTCTACCGAACTGAACTCGTCGACTCATCCGTGCTTCTCGGTGCGTCTTGACGCGTCCCGTTGTGAGTTGTGAGGCGCATCCAAGGGGCACCGCCCAAGGGGCCCGATTGTCTTACATAGCAATCGGGCGCATCCATGCGGCAACATGTCTCACCAAGACATGTAGCCTTTTTGGGACTGAGTTAACCAACATGCTTGGCTTAGTTACCTGGGTGGGTGAAAGCTCTTCTTGGCTTAGTTACCTGCTCAACTTGCCTGTCTGCGCAACATAGATCAATGACGTTGCCCAATCTGAGACCAAGACCCGTCCGCTGCATTCAGAAATGTCTACACTGCTTGGACGAACACCAGCCCGACCAACAGCCTTTCGTGCGCTTGCTGTGTCCTTTGTCCCTTCTCTCGTCAGGAGAAACCCCCCAATGGGCTCAGCAGTTCCCCGTTAAGCAGCTTCGCAGACTCCCACTACTCCGTTGAGGAGGATCCGGCCGAAAGATGCCATTGGGCGAGACATCTAACTAGTTGCGCTCCTTTCTGAAGCTTCTGCCCGCTATGACAGTCATAATTGACAATCATGGAATGCAGATTCGATCAAAGTTTGAAAGGGAATGAAGAGAACTCCATCGGCATAGTTAGATGGAGAATTGGAATGGTCTGGGACGGCATCAGGGTGACGAGGTATCAACCTTGACACCTGAAAGCTGCGGCCAACACTTTCCCTGTGGCAAACAAAGAAAATACAGTAATGAACAAAGAACCATGCGAACGCATGCTAGCAGCTGCTAACATGGTACTTTAATTCCACTGCGTCTCTCACCATGACGCCGAACTCTGCCCACATGACCTCCCGAACTCTGCCTCTGCCAAGACTTCTTGCTCCCCAGATGAGCTGGCCGATGACAAACTGGCTGATGGCGACTCGACCCGCAGGACGCAACGGCCAAGGGCAATCCAAAGGCACTGGGTGCTGTGTGCGAACGGAGCAAGGAAGCTACGAACGGGGCTCCTGGCATCGCTACGAACGGAACAAGGACGCTACGAACGGGGAAGGTCAATCCACCTCGTGTCAACTGCTCGGTCTGTGGCGTTCGCGCCTCGCAGCTCGACCCAGATGTTGCATGGCCAGACCTTCAAGAAAGCCCTGCGCACACGGGAATAGAATTCCGACTGTGAGATCAAGGAGTCTGAAGCACCTGCATAAAATATCATAAAATCACCGGACCTGATAGAGACTGGTGGAAAAACAGCGAAATAAACTGGAGTCTTGAAATTTAGTCAGGCAATTTGTGGCTCACTTTTTTGGAGAAGTGCTATTTCTCGAGATCATGCCACGCGTGCTGAGGAGCGGCCGATGTCAGTCTGCAAGGCTCCAAGACCTCTGAAAGACTATGGTCCAGCATGGTCGAATGGGCATGCCCTAGCAGTGCCTCAACACATTCCGCCGATACTTTGGCTGGCAAGGTGGCCCAAATCACCCATGGCTCCAACACATGTGCCTCTGGCTCATCCACCTCTCTCCTGTCATGAGATCAAGTGTCCAAATCCAGCATTTGATCTGCTGTCTGCTGTCCGAATCCAGCTTTTTCAACTAGCTCAACGGTGCTCTCAGATTTAAGAAAAAGGCACTGAAACCATCATAGAAATCATCAGACAAATACCATCATAGATGCAGCAGCACGTAAGGGTGCGCATAAGTGCTACTTCTAATTCAAAGCAGGCAGGGTATGTCAAGAACCAACAACATAGAGGAGAGCTGGCCACCCTGTTCCAATATTGCCCGTTTGGCTCCTGAGAATCAACGCTCCAGTGGCTTCCCCCGGCAAGAGCCCGGACGCCGCGCTGTCAAAGGTGAAGCACCTCCTGGGGTGAGCCAAAAGCAACGAGGTGTTTGTTTGGTCCAACAGACACCACCATGGAACGATTGCAGTCGGAGCAAGGACACTACTAGGGGCTCCTGGCCTTACTATATACTAGGAACAAGAAGCTACTAGGGGCTCCTGGCATCGCTACTAGGAGCAAGGACGCGGCTGCTCGTTACGAAAAGGTACTGGATGTCGCTGTTTGAGGTGCAGACCCCGAAGATGACAGAAGCCCTGCTGCCTGGCTTGGCTCGCTTTGGAGGGAGTTCAAAAAGGGAAGAATCAGGTGTGTATCTGAGTATACATCTGTTCATTTCGTGGAAATGCCACAGACACTTCGAGATCATGTTAGGAAATGTCAGGAAGGGGTTCTGACAACCAGCATTGGGGAATGACAGGTGAGTTTCGCAGTCAAGTTGTGAGATTCTGTGGTCAGACGTTCTAGCACCGCAAAATGGCACGTTGAGGAAGCCAAGCTAACTGGAGGCAATGTTGCCATGGAAGTGACACGGGTGTAGTTCGCTACTTTTGTTCAAGAGGGTGGGCCAAGAACCCAAGTCCTGCCACTTCGCGAGCTCAACAGGAGAGTTTTTAACCCATGTATCATGTAGATCACCCAATTCTTTAACCAAGTATTTAAAAGAATCAAGTATATATGCGCGGGTGTAAGATCCAGAAGACCAGTTGGGGGGGGGCGAAGAAGAATCCATGCAAAGCCTGCCTGCCGAGAGACCCATCGGTGCCCAGCAAGAAGCACCGATGTCCCCAGAGAGCAGCAGAACTGGCCCCGTTCCGCCGCGTTCGCTGTTGGTCGGGGTTGGTGACGAAAGCTAGCTGCATCTACATGGCCTTGAAACGAATGGAGATGCTCCCAAAACGGATGCTATCAGAACTATGATGCCCCCAAATCTGACAAATCCAAGAGCGGAGTTGAACCCGCGGAGGGGGGGGGTCTAGCAGTGGATAATTCACTGGGTAGCCGATTCCATCCCCCAGGCAATAACTTGCTAAAGCAAGAGTAACTCTAGCTTTCGTGAAAAGCACCCACCTCCCTGCACTCTTTGGAAGTTTGCAACTTGTCTCCGAAACCCTGGAGTCCTCAATTTCCACGAAAACTGGCTTGTAGCCAGCTGAGTTTGTGGTGGACTTTTGAGCAAGACCTCCAATGAATTCTCTTTGATTCTCTTTGTGTATTTGTCTGTATCATGGGACTCCAACACAGGCAGTCAGCGCCTCCGGGATGGATGTGAAACCATCCTCCCTGCAAGCAAACACAACATGATTCCAGTCAGGAGCCCCGGTCTTTGCGTAGGTGGTTATAGAAACACCAAGAACCTAAATAAGTCTCCTGTAGCGTCTGATCTCCTGACCTAATGATTCACAGTTCACAGCAGTTGCTCCGGCCACCGACTCCACGGCCGCGTTCGTTGGCTTCGCTTGTCACAACGTCCGTCAGATTCCCTCGGGAACCCGAGGGTCCCGGCTGCAAGGCCTCGAGCGGACACCCCGGAAAAACCGAGTTGGAGAAGCATGGGACATCAAATGGTGCAGGTACTCCAGAAAGACGCCACATAAAACGACCTTGGACCCTTCTTTTGTTTTGGGTTCCTTGGACCGTTCTTGTGTTTCAGTCGCTCAAACATGATAAAACAAAACGGCCATTCCGGGCAAACACCTTCGGTGCGGTTTCGTTGTTGGGATATCCATGTCTCTTACCTTAGAGATTCGGATGTCCTTCTCGCTGTCCACGGCCCCTCGATTGCAGGAAACTATCGAGAGTGCTCAGCGCTCCGCTGATTCTATCGAGACACCCCGGCTCCAATGTTGCTCAAACGAAAAATGGAAGCCTCGGAAAAAGGAAAAAAGAAACGCGAGAAGCAGGCTGCCGAGATTTGGGTTGAGCTTAACATTTGTGACCTGTTGCCACTTGTTTGTCGGGAAGATTCCTGTTTAAAGACGAATCACTCCTATCATCCGCCCCTCAATCCCAAAGGACCGCCACTGCATCCTAAGGCAAAGACTTTGGCACCAAAGTTGACCTGATCTGCAAGGGCCCAGGCTTAAGACGCCGCCCGAAGGTCATCCATTCGTGCATGGTCCAAAGTGCGATATCGTGGTTTGTGAGCATGCTGGGTGTTGGTTCATGTTTGGTGTTGGTAATGCAATTCATAGCGGTTCTATACTCAATGCACAAGAGTTTCACGGCCATGTTTCTGTTACGTTTGTCTGGTTGCTATGTCTAAATTCCAGTCAACCTTTACCACCATCCATCCCCTCCAAGTTCTTTCAGTGTTCCACCACTGTTCACACTAATGCCAGCAGGATACGGCGGTGAGGCCAGAGCAGTCCCCAGTGTCCAAGGCCACAGCGGGCCCCTGACGCTGGTGGCCCCAGACAAGCAACAAACATCGATTGCGCGCACGTCACCCCACATGCTGTGGCGGCCTTGAGACCCAGGACATAGCTGATGCGCCCTGCCAAAATGGATGAAGCTCTGCCTGTGGCTGTAAAACCTCGGCTCTGCACTTCGGGTGAAGGTTAAATCACGTCACGGGGCCCAAAGACGACTCAACATCACCTCATCTCGCAATGGACAAGTTGGGAACATCGTAAGATGAGGTATTCCAAAACGTTTAGTTTGGTGCACCGTTTGTATTGAGGGCTCCCGGTTGGCAGTCTGAATAGTCTTCACGCCCCGGCCCAAAGAGGCGTTGAGTAAGGAGCCAACTGCTGAGCTGGACAGACCAACGTGCACTGCTGAGCTGTACATGAGACATCATGAGACAAGTGCATGAGACAGACCATCCCAATGGCGGCCTCGTGAGCCGCAACCCGATTGTGCCACCGAGTGCCTCACTGGACGTACTGCAACCATCCCACCTGACACGTTGTGGACGTTCAACCCTGTGATAAGTGGTGGGTTCTTGAGGTCTTTGGTGCATTTTGGTGCTCGGGGGAACTTGGGCGAACTGGGTTTGGTGAAAAATCGTTTTTTGGCTCGGTGAAGAGCAACCTACACTTTCGAAGCCGCCTGGCTGGCTTCCGCTTGGCCTCCCAGCTCACTCCAATTCTCTGCTCCAACATAGATGCCTCCAGTACTTGCGGACAATCGAGGCTTCCTGGCAGCATCTGGGAAGGGGACACAGCCAAAGAAAAGGCCAAAAAAGTCGAGGAAGGTACAGTAGGAGTCTTGAAATCCTGTTTCTCAAGAGATGGAAGTCAAATAGAAAGGATACAAATCTAAAAGTTTCAAATAACCGCCAATGATGTCTCATGCTCAGCCACGCCCAATGCTGGCACAGCCTGAAACCAGCACGTTGCAGGGACTCGTAAGCCACCTCCAAGGCCTGCGTGAAACCACTCCATCTGGTTTTTTTCAGATTCTGGGCCACTCGTCAGTAGTTTTTACCTTATATATATATATGTAGATATGTGCATGTGTGTGGAAGCTCTCAACATGGGAACCTCACATCAGGGGCCCTGGCAGAGTTCCTCCAAGGCTGGGTTAGGATTTCTATCTATCTTCATCTACATCAAAAAAGACCAACATGACACACATCCCTTTTGAAGCTCTCAATTTGTTGAAAAGAAAGGCCTCCTGAATCCCGAACTGAATTCCTCAGAATCCTTGCTTGAACCCTCGGCCCTAAAACCGCAGCTTGGCACAATGAACATGCCAGCTCTTAGAGTCTTAGAGCTCAATAACTTTGTCCCAAGCCTGTCACGGACCGGTCAACACCACGTCACTTCGCTCTTCGGCATCCCGGCCATGCGCTGCCTAGGCTCCATCTCCCCCGCCTCGCAGGACAAAACCACGGGAAACTGAGGAGCACTGGTGTTTGTCTCCAGGTGAGCCGTGAAACGGGTAAACGGAGGATGGGAACCTGAACAACAAAGGCAGTGTGGGCTACGGCTACAATGGAGCCGCTAGACTACTAGATGTAGGTAGCCAGTGCAAGACCTATTCTGAGCTGCTGCGTAGCTCAGAATAGGTTGGAGAAACCGCTCAGTTCCGCCTCCCGCACGGAGATGTTGAAGAGACGGTAGTCGAACAGATCGATGCCGTCCATAAAGCCGGCATGCCTGGATGTGCAGGCACGAGCATGGCACGTGATCATGGCGACGGATGGATGACACGTGCCTCGTGTCATTGGCTCCAGGATTTGGACCTAAAATGGTGGTTGACACCAGTCCCTTTGGCCCTTTTGGAAGCTTGGCGGTGTTAGCAAGACCCAAGACCACACGGACAACTGGCCTGCAGTAGGTCTTCCCCTCTTGCCACGCACTTGGCTTAGGATCGTATAGCTCTTCGTGGTCCCAACCTGTTGCGCCGATGATAACCAGGCAATGCAGCGAGGGTAGCTCAAGAGTCCCATGAAGTAGGCCAATGGGCCGACACCACGGTGAATATTGAACTATCTTGTCAGCAACCTACAACCACAAGGCCAAAGTGAGGCACAACTGCTCCAAGAAGCCTTGTTGAAGGCATTGGGAACTCTACGATGCGGAGAGTTGGGAAATAATAGGTGCCTAGGCCTAGGCCTAAAGCCTAAGCTCTGATCTGTGCCGGTCTCTTGAACCGCAGTCCCTAACAAGTCCCCAGCACTTGGAGCACTTGAGGCCTTTCGTTGCAGTGTCACAACTGAGCTCCTTGCGGGTCAGCGGGACCTGCAGGGCATGGCTCTCAGTCTCGCAGTCATCAGCAAAGAAGATCTTCAACCCACGGTTTTGGCCCATAAAGCGTTCACTCAGTGCTCCACCTGACTTACTTACTGTGGGTTTTCTTCGTTCGCCTCTCCTGAGAGTCGTCGACCTCTGACTCTTCGTCCGTGCGGGTGCCACCGCATCGCCTGAAGCACCACATCAGGTCCCCAGAGCTGAGCAGAGGACCAAGCGTCCACCTGATGCGAACGCCCAGCGGAGACCCGAATCGAACCGACCGTCTGTGCGACCGTCTTTTACGGCATGTGAATGTATTTCTCCGATTTTATGGCCGGATGAAAACAGTTATACGCAGGGAGAGAGAGAGAGAGAGTGTGTGTGTATATTATAGGATCAACAATGACAAAGGAGTTCAGGATCCTGACATTCTGCTGCTGGAGCATGTGGGTCAACCAGGGTGCTTCCTGGGACGAACGTGAGGCTTCACTCCGTCACCCTGTGCAGCGTCTTTTCCACCAACTGTGCCTTAGGCCACTCGTGGCTTTGCGTCAGGCAACCCCGCTGTCCTTTGTTAGCCGATGAAAGAACCTGCTACAGCTCGTCTTGGTCACCATCCCTTTGACTCAAGTAAACTGTTTCTTAATTATTTACTTGTCACTGTCACTTGGTAGACGGATGGGAAAACCATGGAACACCAAGTGGTGAACACAAAAATTATCGATCTTCATCCGGCAAAAAATAGTCGCGTCATAAATAGTCAGGGTTGTTATCCGAAGATCTACAACTTGCTGAATATCGACTTGCTGGCACATTGTCGACTTCAAGGCAGCCAAAGGGGTTGTGAACAGCTTCTGGCTGGGCTGGTCGAGAAAGCAGAAGCGTTGTCACAGCAGACGCATCCAAATCTGGGGCCTGGCAAATCAATGACCAATTCCTATCAAGCTTGAGAGGTGGGCTCCTTTAGGGAGCGCAAAAACAGCATGTGAACCTCCCTTTTTGCAGAAGCTATGAGAAGCTCTCGAATGGAAAAAGGGGGTCCTAAGGTTTGGCTTGTTTTAACTTAATCCATTCTGGTAATTCTATAAAACTGCCTGCTCTTGTTGGGTCAAATTTGTCGTAGTGAATGGTGACTGATATTATCGTTTTAAGCCTTAAATCTGAGGTTGATGATTCAAGATTTTGTATTTGTAGTAAGATTTGTTTAACACTATCTTCTAATGCTTGTGTCAGTTCATCCTCATTATGAATTGGATATGTTGATGGTAAAGCATATACAAGTTCTTGACTACCAATTTCATTTCCTCCATCATCATATTCAGGTGTGTCAAAAAATCCTTCTGTTCTTATGTTAAGTTTCATGCTTCTATTATTTCTTAAAAACTCTAATAGTCTTTGTTTTTGGTGCGCAATCATTTCTAAACATCTTTCTCCTTCAAAGTGTTTATTTTCTAAAGCTATTGAATTAGCATATGCTCTAAATGCTGATTGAACATCTCTGACCCTGAATTTGTGTCTGATTGCGTGTTTGGTCAGTATTTGTCTATTCATCAGTTTCCTTTACTGATAATAATGTCTTTGTTAACACATTTGATATGGGTTTGTCTTTGTTGTATCTGAATTTCTTTTCATCTATGATTATGGACTTCTATTTTTTCTTCCTCTTTTTGGTATTTCTGCTAAATCATTACTCAACAGATAGGCTATAACTGTTTTCATCATATAATAAATCATATCATAACAGATAGTATATATTTTATTTACTTAATCTATCTTTACGTAGTTTTTAAAGAATGCCTTCTATTAATCTTAGAATATTTACTTAAAGATTAGTCAGTTAAGTATATTAGTGGATGGATTGTATGAAGGATTTGCCAGTAAATGTGTTGAGTAATATTGTATCATATACTCATGGAGAACCTGAATATGTGAAAATAAAATATAGTGAATCATTGAAGAGAATACAAAACAAATATAAGATTTCAAGACTTGGTCCTAAAATGACAAGACAATTGAAATCAAGAAAAAAGCTATACAAAATTGAATACTGTATTATGAGAGAGGGAGTGTCATTTAGTTTGAAAAGTATAGAAGACATAATAACAGAAGAACAAGAGGAATTACTATCTTTGATGTATGAAGAAGTAGAAGATGATTTAAATTATAGAGTTAAACTTGATATTGAAGTTCAATTGGTGGCAAAACTCCCAGAAACGGAATATGGAAAAAATGAATGTAGCTATAGAGAGATTTATTTTATGAATGACTTTGATGAACATGTAGATGAAGATTTTTTGATGAAGTATTACATAAAGCAGTTGAAGAAATAAAGAGACGCTATTGAAGGAGACCAAGATAAAGATAGTATAATAGAATAGTATAATAGAATACAAGCCTTTCATTTTAAGTTTACAGTTATTGAAGACATTTACTACTAACATATTTCTAACAACATCTATTAGAATTATGGATTTGAAGATTGGATTATTAAAGGTGAGGGGTTATGCTATATTGTTGTCCATTGTTTTGTTTTTATGTTGTTCTTTGCTTGGTGTGTTTTCTGTTTGTTGCTTGGTTGTTTTGTTTTGGGTATGGAATGGATGAGGTGATCATGTATTGACTGTTATGCTTTCAAAAAAAAGGGATGAGGTAATAGATGGTTAGTAGCTATGATTCTTGAGGAATGAATGAGGTAATAGATGGTTAGTAGTACGTAGTGATGATTTTGTGGAATAAATGAGATAGTTATGTATTCACTGTAATGATTTTGAACAATGAATGAGGTACCAGATGGTTAGTAGTTATGATTTTGAAAAATGAATGAGGTTATATGTGGTAGTCTGTTGTGATTTTTTGTGAATAATTGTTGAGTCTTTATACTGCTATAATTTGAGTTTAGAAAACTTATTTGAAGTAACGTTTTGAACATTTTTTCCCCAGGCCCAATTTCGTGCAAGGTAGCCTTTGGCCAACACATACTCTGATGGACTGGCCATTGGCAATTCCAGATTGATGTGGCAATGGTTACCACAAGCACAAGCGAGGCTTGAGCAATTGGGAAGCTGATGGGAAATCCTGATTTGAGCAAAACCAAACCAAAACATTGCGGTGCAAAATCAAACTCATCCTCCCAACGACCGCTTCAGAAGTCTCAGTTCTGAAAGCCGCCGAAGGATCAAAGGCGTGAGTGAGACGCCTCTCTTACTGAACCTGAGGAAGCAAAACAGCAACTCGCAGACCGGAAAAATGATAAAAGTAACAAATAAACTATCAAATGCTAGATCATCGTTTGTTCATGTCCATTCTCAATCCTTCCCATTGATCTGAATGGCCAGGTTTGTTCGGTCCCATTCCGGTCTGTGCTCTGTCGTGCCTGCACCGGTGAGGAAGCTTTGGTCAGCTGCGCTCATCAGTTGGTTCTTCTCTCACCTTCAAATGGAAAAAGGGGCGAAAGCACATGGTTGGTTTCCAAAATGTCTTTTCCCAAAATGGTGCACTCATCGCAATTCCATGGGGGCCCGCTTCTAAATCTCCTTTAAACTCCAAGCACACTCAAACCACAGGGACGTTAAACATGAAGGCGTGTCAACTGCAAAAGCTGTGAGAGGTGTCTAGCGCGGACCCTTTCGTTGAGCTGCTGGAGCTGTTGTTGCTGCTACTGCTGCTGCTGGACTTCCCCACTTTTGTTCTCAGAAATCTTCAAGACGACGTAGGAAGGATGTAAGAGCTGACTCAAAAGATTTGGATGTTGGATGGGCACATGGTCAAGAAATGGACCGTCGTCTAGCGCGGTGCTAGCGCGGATCTAGCGCCAGCCTAGCGCAAAAAAATATCCGTCGATTTCTATATCCTGTCAGATTCTTATTTGTCCTGCTTGCTTGTCTTCTTCTTCTTCTTCTTCTTCTTCTTTTTCTTTTTCTTGTCTTAGTCTTGCTCCTGCTCTCTGCTTGTTTCTTTTTCCTGCTTGCTTATCCTGTTACGAAGAAATCTAGCGCCAACCTAGTGCCAATCTAGCGCTGCCTTGCTGTATCACCATAGTCTGCTGGGGGCCCGCTTCTAAACGAAGACTTAAAAACACATCTCCAACCTTAAAAGTTTACGTTTATCTATATTTTTTGAGTAGGGCTTTTTGAGCGCAGTCCACATGTCTTCAACCATGTCCAGCTGCTTAAGCTGTGAGAGAAGACAAGCATGGCTCAAACAATGGCCAGCCTCAAAGTTGGCGTTGCGTGCTCTTCTTCAGTCCATACCTGAACATCGGAGCTGTTCTTGTGCTCAAAAACCAGGAACCACCACTCAGTCTGCCTCAAACCAAGAGACTTGTTACCATCTCTAACAGACTTGTCGTCATCCCCGGCAGACGGCAGACCCGGCCTATTCTCTGACGGCCTTTGGACCAGCACTGTGGGCAACGGCGATCGCGTCGTCCCCAGCTGACGCCTCGGTGGGCCCCAAGGGATGGCCCGCTGCGGCTTGCGCAAGCAGGACATTCCCCCGTTCAAGGGCTGATCTAATCGTTGGACATGCTTCAGGTGGTATGCCTGAACAGGTATTGGACCAAATTAGATCTTTAACAACACACTTGCCAGTCTGTTCATGCGGTGGGCTTGAGTTGAGATAAAGAAGAATCGTCTTGCCAAGACCAACAAAACAGCACAATCCGAATAGCGTTGTATACCTACTTGTCCCTGCAAGATTGCGGAAGGTGCCCATTTAAGTTGGTGAGGCATCTAGTTGCCAGGGAGGGATTCAAGCCGCGGGAGGAGGATGGGACATACTTTCTGTGAGTCCCCGAATGCATCAATACAGACTATCATCCCTGTGCGGCGACACACTTTACGACCACAACCACGCATAACCTGCGAAAGGCCTCAATGTCACTCCATCCAAAACTTCCAAGAAGGGGCGGGTGGATTGAACCTTCACAAGGAAGAAAAGGGCAGCCACCACAGTTGCCTCGCCTCGTGGACAACTCGATCTGGTGCAAGACGTTGACTAAATTGAAATCCTTGGCCTGGCAACGAACGTTGGCTGTGGACTTTGTCTCGCCATACCCCGGCCAAAGTCGGTATGGATGGTATGGTAGAAACGGGTCCCTTCGCCCCTCTCGCACCGGAAGAAAGACCAAGACCACCGCCTTTTTTGTTGGTGCATGCCACGAGGAGGTCAGTGGAGGACAACATGAGTCCACTGCGAACCAAATCGAGGCTCAGGCTTCTTTGAGGAAACTACCCCTGCCCTCAGGCCGGGTGAGCTTCCTTGAAGCCTGAGCCCTAGCCGTAGCGTCCAAGCCAAATAGCGCCCCGACTAGTGCAGTCAGTGCAGTCCGCACTTGTTACCTATATATACATTCCCTACTTCTCAAGCTACCTCTTCTTACTCCGGCATACTCCCCCCGGCATACTCAAGCCAGCCAAAGCCAACCGAACAAGTGTGTCTATGAGGTGATCTTCACGGCACCAACAAACTGATGCCTTCTGTGTGGCCTCTTTGTGTGTTTCGTGTCTCTATAGCGATTTGGAAGGCTGACTTGGAGAAGCAACCATGCAGGTAAAGCGTTTGTTCAAAAAAGACACCTTTTTCGAGGGTTCTGACCGGACCAGGAGTCGCATGAAGAAGTGTTTTTCGAAGTCCTGAAGCAACTTTGGATGATCCAAGTATGTTCATCCTCTCTCAGGAGGACACTGATTGCTCATCTGAAACTCACTCTCACTCCCGCCTTGGGATTCGGGGTGTATTTGCAGCCACTCAGGACGCTCACCAGCCCCGTCAAGTCATCGACAAAGGCTCCCACCTGGAAATAGACAAAACAACTGACCTACATCAGGTGAAAGTGCGTCCTTAGATTGGACATATAGATAATTGTTCATCGTCATATGATCAAACACCAGATTGGACTGACGCGCGAATTCCCCTGCATAAAAGACCATGGCTTCTTCGATTTCTCCACAGCGAACGGAAATGCCAATCATTCATGTAGGAAAACTGCTAGGTCTTTTTGGCACTATTCCCTCAATTTGCTTCCTTAGCTTGGCAAGGGGCTCGTTCCAAAGTGCGGTACTTGTCATCCAAACGTTTCCCCAAGAGGCAGAACAGTGCGCAATCACCTCAGCACATCGTTTGCAGTGTGAGTTTCATTTACTTGGAACCTACAAGAATGTCTTTTTTGTTGAGCTCCATATTCCCCGCGTGACGTAGGGAAGACAAGCCACTTGAAGACCCAATCTGACCCTCTCTCAAGCCTAGTGCGGCTAGTGAGGCCCCACAGAGGGGTTTGTACCAAACTTGAAGGACGCATGATTCAATGATCTGGCAATTGAGGTAAACCACGTTGGGTGCGTGGTTTCAACCACTGTGGAGCTCCGCGCTTACAAGCACCTCTTGCCTTTGAGCCCTTCCTTCCATAATGCCCACCCAGACTGTCTGACTGAAAATCTAAAGTAGCCAAAGTCTAAAAAGTTTTACAAGTGTCCGTATTCGGTTTAGCTGTAGAAAACCACACGAACCTCCAACAAGCCGAGCCGAACTTTTCTTCTTCTCCCTTTCGACGGCTTTCGGGGTGAGACTCTCGTGCTGAAAAAGGCTTCTTTGCAGCTTTGCTGCAAGATTGGCCGGGTCAAAGGATGGGCTTTCAGGTCAAACGGTGAAGCATGTGGGCTAGAATGGGATGTCTCAAAAAAGACTCTAAAGTGGCGGGAACAAATGTGTTGGGTTGCCAACAATTCTTGACATATCCAGCCGTTTTTTGAGACTCCCACTTATTCAAGAAGGGATCCAAAATGCCATCCTTCAAAATGAAACGAACTACCAGCTGCTGAACAAGCTACTTACTACTGTTGTTTGCTGCCAGGAAGCAACTCAAAGCCTCAGGCCAAGCCCCTCAGAAGAAGAAGTATCAGAACACAGCCCACTCGAAAATGCCTCTTGGCGTCGTTGCCTGAGTTCAGGTGAGTTCAAGGTCAGCGAAGAAACATGGGCTCAAAACGGGTGAGACACCAGTTTTGACCGGACAATTGCAAAACATTGCAAAACGAGGTTCCAGAAACCATGCATTTATCATGTTTAACAGCAGTGCAAAACATGCTTAAAGTCCATCCGAGATGCAATTCACATCACACCCATAAAGCCTGGGGTTGCTTTTTTCGCATTGCTGGGTGTACTGCGTTTCTCTGCAGGTCATGAAGACCTTCTTGGCACAGTAGGCGTTGCACTTCTCGAGCGTACATCGCTGTTCCCGAGTGATACCGGCCGAGAACATCTGTGCCCGAGACTCCTGGAGGAAGTTGTATCGCTCCACGGGATCTTCTGAGAGGCAACTTGCTGAGTCGCTACCCCAAACTTCACAGCCAAACAGGCAGCAAAGGTATGCACTGCACTCAGGGTCCCAATCCATCATCCCGGCCGTGTCACGGCAATACTCCTCCCATTCTTCGAAGTACGGATAGACGATGCCATCGTCCGGGCCCAAGATACATTGCCTCAGGCAGTGTCTCCTGAGCGGATCTTCATCAATGTTTCGCTTGGAATATCCGCACAAAGGTTCTTCTAGTAGAAGGTTGGGAGACACCGTGACCGTCGCGTTGGAATCCTGCGCCTGAGTCGCTCGAGCGAGCAGCACAGCCAGTGCTCGCAGCATGCTGGTGGATTGGATTAATCCTCTGGATTCATTACTTGAGCCAAGACCACGGCCGGCAGCTCCGTGCACAGTGAAGGCACACCTGGTTCTGGCATGTAACAAAAGAACGACAAACATGCTGAGCTACGGATGTTCGTACCCACAAGAATGCAGCACAAAAGTCAAGGTTTGTGGCAATCCTGCATCTCATCTTGACCTGGCAAGGAAGGCGGCCAACCTGGGACCCCCCCTGTTGGGACATCATATCGATGTTCTTCAACCTGAACACTTCACCAAACGCGTGTTGCAGGCAGGCGGCTGAAAGAGTTGCAATTTTTCCGGAGCATGTCGTAGGTGCCGGGTTGGAACAGCGGCTCCAGGATGCACTTCATCTGGTGTCCTACTGTTGCCGACCCCTCCCATCCTCGTTCAACAAGAGAAGAAACACTCCGTCAAGAACACTTCCACTATGCCATCGATTTATATGATATTCTCCGAGAATGCCTGTTCAGCCTGTTCAATCAAAATCCAAAATCACGAGGTTTCTAGAGATGTTTCTTATTGCTTCTTCAACAAGCCCTCTGAAAAGCCTTTTTTTTGAGCCCAAAAATCCGTAAGGATCCGTGGCACAGCGAATGTTCACTTGCCACTTGCCGTGGTGAATTTCCCCGGAGTGGACCAGGACTCGTCGTCGCTCCGCCGATGAAAAGATCACAAATGTTTTGAAGCCGAGTTAAAAGAGTCGCAAGGTGCAGTCTTCAAACACAACTCTTACACCCAGTTACACCGCCCCAAAGACAAGAGAGCCTGGCCGGAGTCGCCCACGCTCCTCCCGCTTTCTCGCCGCTCCTGAGATGGTCGACATGCCAGCCTCCATGAGCACCGCATCGCGGCCCACGCTGTTGGCCACATCCAGGCGTTGAAAGACGATACCCGTCGGGGTGAAGGTGAACCTCGGGATGATCGAGATGAAGGAACCAAAATGATTGAAGAACTGGGAGGGTACATGCCATGTACACCTTGCATACTCCACCATGAAGGCGCGATCGGAGGGTGGAGCACAATATCTAGAAAAGATGCTGTGGAGGATTAGGAACCCCGAAGTGGCAAAATCTGAAGACCCCCTGCTTCCAACATGACAAAAATGGAACGTTGTAAGCAAAAGATCTGTTCTGATCATTCTCATCGTGTCAAGTGAAGCAGCTGGGGAATCATGACGACTGGCCATCCTTGGGACCAAGCTCAAAGTCATCCACCACGATCGATGTATGGTATGCATCCTGGTCAAGCATTCAGAAAGGTTGTTCAGGAAGGGATGATGATTGCTGTAAGTTGGTCCAAAGGTGCAACCCTCACTACATATGCTCATATGTCGGTCCAAAGCAGTCCTTCATCCAACATGCAACAGACGGGCCGCAAATCAGCGAAGAAACCTGCAGCACGGGGCGGGTCAACGTGAAAAACCTCCTCAAAAAAGGTGTAGTACGCAGTCGCTGACTAGAACCCACATTGTTCAACTCTGATAAGCACAGCCTGCAACAACACCTGCATGTCTGGAGGGGGTCATGTTGACCTGTCGAGACCTTGCGCTTGCCAGGGAGCTGCCAGGCGCACCCGGTGCTGCGCAGTTGGAAGATCCACGATGATAGAGTTCGTAGACCCCATGGCGACGGCCCAATGCAAGTGCAATGCAAACACTTCTCAGACACGCTGGAACATCGCAGAAAATCTGAGATCCTAGGGACAAGACCCTCTTGAACACATAGCAATGTTCCCGGACTTTCGGTTCTCTGCACTCTGATTCAGAAGTTTCATCCCTGGGCAGCACCCTCCGGGTCATGTCTTGGGCAAACCACGGCCAAACACCAAAATCTCACCCACGTTACCCACGTTGCTCCCATGTGCGATTGATACCTGCTGCTACCTTTTCCGTTGCTATAAGTGCTATGTCTCTTCTCTCTCCAACCACTGCTACCCCACATTCTGAAAACCAGACGGGCTGCCCAAGACCTCCCACCTGCCAGCTGGATGGCAGTCGACCTCCAAAGCTGCAAACGGCAAGCCCAAGGCCCTGCGGTGTTTTCCGACTCTTCTATCTGGGTTCAGAGTCTCAGATAGAGCGTATGTCTCAAGTTTCAATTCTAGCTTCTAGCCACTAGTAGCGATGCCCTCGTTACTAGTGGCGATACTTGTACTAATAAAGTGCGTAGAGTTCTTTTGTAAAGGTTTCAATTGACTTTCCCTACAATTTCAACAGCGGTTTCTTGATTCCCACTGGCAAAACAGCTCTATTCCGGTCCATGCCTGCCTTGCAATATAAATGATCCTTCAAAGGGAGCAATGGTGGAGGTGTTGTTGTTGACACACAATGGCCACTTGAAGAGGGACAAAGCCGTTGGACCAATTCGACAATCATATGTATCTTCAAAACAAACTTGGGAGGTTATGAAATACTCGGTTCATTTCAAGCCAGCAAGGATTTGTCTCTATCTTGAACTCCCCCTGCGTCCTGCAGTAGCTGCAATCGTTCCTTAGCACATGCTAGCTGCTAGCATCACAACAGGATTTCCAAGTATCTAGCTAGCGACAGAAAAAAAATGGTCATCTCAACAACACCACCGTTGTCCAACTTATCCTGCCAAAATTAAAGATAAAGTAGTTGTCGAAGCCAGCGGTCATTTCCGAAGGCCATTTGATGCAAGTGTCTCAATTTGTAGCAAGGTGCATCAGTGGGTGTCTCAGTTTCTGCATAGTTCTCCGCCCACTCTTGCAACACCTGGCAACCATCTAGCCATGGCCATAAAACTGTGAAGCTGACAAATACCCCATAGATGGATGTTCGGCTGGAATCTTCAGTATTTATTCTGTGTGTGATGCAACAAAGTTCCATCAGTATACCGAGGTGCTATCTAAAATCACTTAAGCCGTTGCGTTTAGGTCGTTCGGTTTTAGTTTGTTTAGGTCAGAGCACATCTGTTGTCGTTCGCCGTGGTCAGATGTTGAGAACCTTCTGGCAGCCTAAACACCCTGACAGAGCACGTTAGCTCGTCTTGACAGACCATGACTCTTTCGAACCATCGGGACCGGACGAGTGTTCTTCTGTCTTCGTGTTGTTTCGAGTGACCTTTATTTGTGTTGTTATAAATATATGGTTCGAAAATGTTTGTCGCTGACCAGCTTGCAAGTCTTGCGGCGCATCGTGCACGGCGTGAGCGGTGCAATTTAAAAATGTTTAAAAACATAACAACCTCCGAAACTCAGATGTTCCTGAGTTGACCAACATCTAGCTGCTTCCGCTTCCCGTCCTTGGCACAAGAGGTCAGCTGCGGTCGGCCCTGACAGCACCACGGAAGTGGTGGCATACAGGGCTCCAGGGCCCCATGTACACATGAATTAGATGTCTTTCCTGTGTGGAGAGAGATTGCCGTGGTTCATGCCTGCTGATTCCAAAAATTTGGTCCCATGGCTCAAGTCTGCTGTAATCACGGAATACTGTTTCTACCCATCATCGGCTGACAATGATTGAACTATTGATCCATTGTTTGCAAGCCGCTGCACATGCTGGCCAGATCCTTTTTGGCGGCTGGGAAACAGCATCGGTCGGCACCGTCGGATACCTACGCATGCGCGGTCGAGTCTACACTCTCTGTTCCCGCAGAGTCAGAGCCTTTGATTCTCGGTGAGAAGCCACTACAGATTCATGTGGCTTTTGATTTGCCCGCTCAGGCGCTTTTCCTCTTCTCAGCAGCCGCCTAATTAAAAGGAGCCAAGCGAGCACAAAATGGCCAAGCACGATCTCATTGACCTGGTTTCCCTTTTTTCCAATTGTCAGAAAGACAGCGAGGCAGAGAGAGAGAGAGAGTGTGAGCGTGTGTGAGCGTGTGTGCGCGTGTGTGTGCGGATCTATTGTACAAAAAACGTGTCTTCATCCTTTCAAGCACCATCACTGGTGTTGACAAAAATGTCAAGTAGGCTGCTGAGGTGAGGTAGGTAGTAGCTAGAGGTAGGTAGGTAGATAGTACTTGAGGCCAGGGGGAGAGGTCGAAAGCTAGCCGAATCGCACCGGATGTACTAGTTACATAGTCGGCAAAGCATGTAGGGATTACATGTTTTGGGAGGAAGGTTGCTATGTACATACTTTGCGCTAAAGAATGTAAATGTGACATCGCTGACTGGGAAGGGTACATTGGAACAACCCGGGTGCACTCGTTGGCAGGCACGAAGATGCGTGATCGGCAAATCTGGGGGGTAAATTTACCCTCCGCTTTTGTATGCCTTGAGTCGGAAAAATGGGTAAGCATTTCTGACATCATACGGACTGTACATACACTAGGGCGTCCGTAGTGTAGGAGAAGCACGGGTAAAAGGTATATGGAATAGAGTGTCTTGAGGAAATAGCCGGTGTATGGTTATTGCAAATCTGGGGGGTAAATTTACCACCCGCTTATGTATGCCTTGTGCTGGAAAGAGGGGTAGGCATTTCTGGCATCACAAGGACTGTGCATACACTAGGGCGTCCGTAGTGTAGGATAAGCACTGGTAAAAGGTATAAGGAGTAGAGTGTCTTGAGGAAATAGCCGGCTTGTGGTTATGGCAAATCTGGGGGGTAAATTTACCCCCCGCTTATGTATGCCTTGAGCCGGAACGAGGGGTAAGCATCACAGGGACTGTGCATACACTAGGGCGTCCGTAGTGTAGGGTAAAAGGTATCAAGAATAGAGTGTCTTGAGGAAATAGCCGGTGTATGGTTATAGCACGCCTGGGGGGTAAATTTACCACCCGCTTATGCATGCATTAGGTTAGAAATAGGGGTAAACAACTTGTAACGGTGAAGTACAAGTCCTATGCAGCAAGCAGCAGCCAGCAGCAGCAGCAGCAGCAGCAGCAGCCGCCTGCAGCCAGCAGCCAGCAGCAACCACCAACCAGCAGCCAGCCAGCAGCACCAGGCAGCAGCAGGGCAGCATCAAGCCGCAGCAGCAGCAGCACCACCGGCAGCAAGCACCACCGGCAGCAAGCAGCAAGCAGCAGCAGCAAGCAGCAAGCAGCAGTAGCAGCGGCGTCGTCAGCCGCAACAAGTAGCAAAGCAGCAGCTACAAAAGCGGCAACCAGCGGCAGCAGCAAACAGCAGCAGCAAGCAGCAGAGCGGCAGCAGCAGCAGCAGCACCCTTTACACCAAGCCACCGTTTACACCCAACCAACCACGTTCAACCAACCTCAACCAACCCCCTACACGGCGCAGCTGGGAGTTGAACCGCGGGGGGGGGGGGTTAGCTTGATATATCAATCTTTAAGGCACGCAGCCCCTCCCACCACAACATTGCTAAAGCAAAGAAGAACTCAGCTAGCATGCTAGCTTTCGTGAGTAGCTAGGTTAGCTAGTAGCTTAAGTAGCTACTACTTCTGACGCAGGATAGCTCACGCTTCTATTCATTGGGTTCCCAGATTTTTAGGGAAACTTAACTAATAGCGATGTTCAAGCTTCTTTGGGGTAGGTCCGATATATAGGTGCCGACCTCAACGTGTGTTGCCCTCATCCTGGCGTCCAAAAGTCCGCTCTGCTGAGTCACTGGGAGCTTCCAAAAGGCTACAGCCTCGCAGCGAAGCTTTGGAGCACTCGTGGGTCCGGTCGGAACAGGACGCACAAAGGGGCTAACCTACGCTGGGATGAGCGAGGTATGCCTTCGAAGTTTGCAGCCTACTCGAAAATTCACTACCAGGATCACCACAAGTTTGGAAGTGGATCATTGATTCGAAGCTCATGAATTATGAAGGAATGCAGTCTGGCAACTCTGGCCGACGAATCGGAACGACTGGAACGACTCATTTTGTTGGCCAAATTCTCAGGCCCCGGCCAGGTATGCCAGGAAAATGAAGCCCCAGTGAGGATACCTGAAAAATCGATCAGCAAAAGTCGGAAAGTCAAATGGACCTCTCCTTTTTGAAATAAAGCACAGGATGGTATATATCAACAAGAAGCTACTAGTAACTAGTAACAAGGGCATCGCTACTAGTAGCTAGAAGCTACTAGTAACAAGTAGCAAATGTTTGTACAGGATGGTACAGGTACTCCGTGACCCCACGGAGGCCCACGTCGAATGGAAAGCGTTCCATGCTCGCCTCCACACAGGGCTGTTCATTGAATACCTCAGCGCAGTGTTTAGCCACATGGCCCTGTCTTAGAAGATGTAGAAGCTTGTGACCTTCCCTTTGCAATTTGCAAGGTGAATTCTTACTTCCGTTTGGGGAAGAGCATTGACCATGATATCCAAACATCAGGAGCTCCGCGATGGGTGAAAAAGCCTGACAAGGGCTAATATAAGATTCCTTGCCCCACAAAGGTCAATCGCACAAACAGTCTCTCGACAAGGCTGGGCATTGACTTATCACTTCGCATATCCTTGGGGGCTTTCGTATCGCACAAAAAAAACGTCCATCCAGTGGTTGGTTCACAGGGGAAGCGGGGATAGCTGTCCGCATCCGGCGCTAAACCTACCCACTGGAATTAGATGTGATTACCAGGATCACCAAGTTGCATCAGCAAGATTACGAGGAAGATGGAATAGCCTTTCACCTTAGAAGCTTGCCATGAAAATGCATGAATTCACTGTGTCTGTGGCTGATGTGTCCTATCTTTCAGTGTTTGCAGTCCTTGCCAGCCTAGCACATTCACCCCAAGACAAGGGCCTCTCAAGATCACTGCAGTCAGGATGCCCACATTTCTAGCGACGAGAGGAGCAAGGGCAGCGCAAAGCTCAGTAAGACCTTGCTGATGTAAAGCGCCTGAAACGAACTCTGATACTGAGACAGTGCTTTTGTTTGCGCCGCATTTGTGCCTTTGGATTTCTCCGAAAACATAATAAACTCGACATCTGCGACCGTCACGCCTCAGGGCTCAGTTGTTGGTTCATCGCCTCACAGACCGAGGAAGGCAGGCTGAAGAGAACCCACCAGTTTTTTCCACAGCTGGATACCATTCTGGGTCCATGGACTTTACAATGAAAAAAATTGCACATGACCCCAGAACGCATGACTTGCTTCGTCAAAACCACTCGACTTCTCCCCGCGCCATGTGCACCAAAGGAAGGGAGGAGGGAATGCTCCGAGACCACCAAGACGGGCTTAGGGCTCGCCCATCGGTCAAGGCTGCCTCACGAGCATGCCCAGTCGACGACGCACTGATTGGTTGATACACAATGCCTCATATCTTCAAGCGAAAATGAAGCAGCTATGGCTATACCATGCAAGCACCTGCAATGGCACAAGTCCATACTTTTTCAAGGTGGCGTAAGAGGCAAAAAAACTGACTGATGTTCAGATTTGCTATATATAGACCCGTCTGTTCACAAGCACACCAAACTTGTTCCCTATTCAGTCAGCCGTTCCAAAAAAGCAGTGGGTCTCCTGAGAGAGGGAAACAGCAATCGCACATGCACCAGCGTCAAAGCCATATTCTGTGTCCAAATCAAGATTGACATGAGTTGAAGTCTTTTGAGAATCCGTGAAGTGACGGGGCAGCAGGATGTCAAGTGGGCTGCTTTCACCAGCATTTGATGGTCAAGTCATGTCTTACCATACACTTACTGATTCGGTATGCTTACCTACAAGGTGAATCGCAGCAGGAACTTTCGGCCACGGAGATGTCATCCTGTCCCTTATCGAAACAGCGCTGCAAGCTTGGTTGCTCTCAACACGTGACCAGGCGAAGGTTGTAAGTTTATATCGAGTCCTGAGCACTCACCAGGTGCTCGACTCTGCTTGCCTGTAGCGAAGCCCAGATCTCTGGTGGAGCTTCAGGAACCTGGGCTGCGCGCAGCATAGAGACACATGGATTCACTCAGGTTGTTCAGCGAATTTTCCCTACTAAGAAGCTGTCCAAGTTGAAGAACAAACAGAGCCCGATGACACAGGATGTCGATGTCTGAGCAATAGAAACAGAGTTCAGGAACGCCTGCAGGACAGTTGTGTTTGTCCACTCGGCACGGGCCCAGCAAGTGTGCATGCTGCAAGGCAAATGTCATACGTCAGCTTGTAGGCGTTTTTGTGCTCTGTTTTGGTGCCAAAAAAAGAAACCCTCAGACAAGTAGAGAAGAATGACAGCATTTTTGATGGCCCTTTAGGAACTTGGTTCCACACAGTAAGCGGCATGAAGAGAATGGTGAAGACGAACAACCTGGAAAACTGCAGAAAAAATGGCCGACCATGGTAGCTCTCTATCAGCTCAGGGCAGTGCGGTCCCCACCAGCTTAAGGGCACACCGGGGATCCACCGGAGGGTCGGACCGGGTCGGTCGGACCGGTTAGTCGCCGCCGTGGCACACCACATGTGCCGCAGCCCCCGAGCTGAACGAGCGTCGCGCCACGGAGCGAAAGGTGTCGCTCCAGACCTGCCCATGACGTCTACTGGCGTCTGTGCCAGTGAAAGAGCAAAGAAGAAGAAGAAGAAGAAGCTCTTTCTCTCCGAGAAAAGAACTGGCTCGAGAAGTTGTTGTTCTTGACATTGAAACCCTTTGCATTTGCATGTTAATACCAAGCAAGATTCCAAGTCCAGTGTTTGAATCTTTCTGTAGGGAAATAAACTGATCTTGTATCTAAGACGAGATGAGTGGGAGAGGCTGCGTGAACGTGGACCTTCATGCCGAACAAGCCTTTTAAAACAGGCCCCAAAACATGGACGAGGCCTCTCCGAGGCCGAAGCGAACCGAGCGAACCGGCTCCGCACCTCTGGCTCGCGTAGCACACAGAGGGTACCCACCACCAGGCCGGCGATCTGCGAGAGGAAGGCCTTTGGGAAGTCTTGGGCCTGCGGCTTCATGTCGAATCAGCGACAGACTCGTTGCACATTCTTGACGAAGAAAGAAGTGAGTGTCCTTCTGTATCCCTGATAATCTATTCCAGAAAGGGTGAAAAGCGGTGTCAAAGTATCAACCCTGAACTCAAGAGCACCGTAAACATGTAAACTAACAAACAAGGCAGGTTGGCAATGCAATCTTCGCTTCCAGGTAGTTTCCATGATTGTGTCGATGGTAATGTTTAGTAGCTGAGGCTACAAGCGTGTGCCAAGCAGCCTGAAGCAGCAAGAAGCTCAGCAAGACCCAAACGTGCCAGCGTGGCTCCACCTGGCATGGCATGTCTTGATTCATAACTTTGACAAATCTCAAGTTCCTTGCAGTGAGCCGCCTACCTTGTTTGATCTTGTCAGTCGCCTCAGATCCTTCTTGAAGAGCAGAACCAAGCTGTTTGTCTGTTCGTTGTAACCTACTTGGACCTACTGCTTTTGCAGCCGACAGTGGAGGCTTGCACCATTGACTTGGTCACCAAGGAGCCGAGGAGAGAGGAGGAGTGTCGCACAGTTCTCCCGGTATATGCAGAGATGGAATTGAGCCCCAGCTGGTAGAAAGCACCGTACATGTACATGGATCTGTAAAGCAGGGTAGGCCATTTAACCCTTGCTGCATTTGTGGACATAACTGGTCCTCCGCTGAGGATCGCTGGCGGCCTCCCAAGGTAACTTCAAAGCACTGCCCATGCCATCGCTGTGCACCTTCCGTTCGCAAGTCTTGCGGAACACCAAAGCTCCATTTAAAGATAACAAACGAATGAATTAAAGGAAATGATGTATCAGGATGATAACAAGTAATCTATCTGCAAGTTAACCGCTCAAAGGTCTCAAACCCATGAAAGAAACGGATCAACTTGGATGCCTCAGCGGCGACGAGCAGGAAGCCATAGGAAGCCCCACCTTGGGGTTCACCTTGTGCATCACTGCCGCCAGGCCCGCAAAAGCTGGCTCAAAGGACACGACGCACCTGAGAGAGATGCAGCCAACATGACACCGATGGTTCTGGTACCGCAAAACTCCAACAAAATATTGGGACCAACGCCTGTCAAAGGAGGCGTCAAAGAGTACGCATGACTTGCACAGGAACAAGGCGACATGACTTGAAAAAGACAGAACAAACATGGCCACCTTCCCGCAGGCACAAGAACAAGGGAACCAAACTAACCAAACCTCCAACTTCGCAGGTATGTTTGCGGAGCAAGCCACCCAGCAAAGCCGAAATGCAGAAGAATAAAGGCTGATCCAAGCCTTGGACCAAATGTCAAGCTTGATGGAGTGAAAAAATCAAGCTTGATGAGCAAAACGAGATGACCAATTGAATAGCAATATGTCCGATCTCCAGAAAAAAACAACTGGTGGGGCTGTCAAGGTGGTCAAAGACACCGATCTCGTGTCCGTTTCTTCGTTCGAGGCCGAGTAGAGAATGAAATAGAGAAGCCGAACAGTGGCAAGCCGAAGCGGCAAAAATCCATCGAAGCCTTGAGCGGAACCTGTGTTTACGGGGCCTGTGGATCACTCACCCTTAAGAACTGGACTTGAAAAAGGATCCTGCTGCACAGGTTCAGGAGGGTTTCGGTCAATCAGCTCAGTTCTTGAAAAAATCCAGTGGCCAGGAGCCCGGCTGAATTCCCAGGAGCAACGCCAGGAAATGTCCCGTGCCCAGCTCGAACTCCTCACGTTGCGCGACTTCCGATTCTTAGAACTCGAAGAGATTTGGAAAAAGAACCACCCGTCAGAAAAGCTCCAATAAACAGACTAGTGACTAGTAAAGAAGGGCAAACCAACAGCGTAGAGACTAAGAGATTACGAAGTCGAAGATGACGTCAGAGCCTTTTGGCGCACGTTGCCGAGGGCATGGATCAGATGGCTTGGCACGAGACCCTTGGGTGCAACACGAGACCCTTGCAGCTAAGAGTCTAGGGCATAGCCAAAGACTAGAAGCAGCGTCGAGGACAAGAAACCTCTGATGATGCCTGCAGGGCAGTAGAAGCTGCAGGCGCATCTGAAGGTCGAAGACAAAGTGTGTTGTTGCTGTCTTTTGCAGACAGTTACAGTAGTCAGTAGAAGAAACGACACTGGCAGTGCTTTCGCGGTCAGTCAAGTCTTTTGCTGAACGTGCCATCACCTTCTCCTTCTCCAAAGTCATACCTGCCTTATGCAAGCCATGGCTTGAACCATTGGGGCCTGTAAACCTCATGCTGCTTTACAAACTTTACACAGGCTGATCCCACTCTT